CACACAGACAGGCCATGCCACCCCTCAGAAGGGAGGGGGTAATTAGCAAGTTCCTCCCTCCATGCAGCATGAGGAAGGCAGATGTACCTGTGGCTGCACAACTCCAGTACTTGCCATTTACAAACCCCAGCTAGTGAGGTTTGACATTAGGCCTGCCTGACTAAACTTTTTGCATTTCAGCCAGTGCAGGGGTGGGCAATAATTTTTGATGGGGTCCACTCCAAGATTTTGGAAAGTGGTCAAGGGCCACACTCTTCCATAGTATTAATGGAGGAGATGCGGGGTCTGGAATGAAGGTTGGGTGCGGAAGGGAGCTTAGGGTAAGGGTTTGGGGTGCAGGCGGATTTGGGTGAAGGAGGTGGTTGTGACCTAAGGCAGGGAACTGGGGTGCAGGGTTTTGGGAAGTGACCTATGGTAGAAGGGGATTATGATCTCAGGCAGGAGATTGGGATCCCAGATCTGGGGCAGGGGTGCATGTGGAGTAGTGGTACAAGAGTGGGGAGCAGAGGGTTGGAGAAAGGAGGAGCTGGGGTGCCAGAGGCAGGGCCAGGAGACTTACCAGTCAGCAGCCAAACCAGTCTGCTTGCCTGCAGAGCTAAAGCCTTGCAGAGCTTAAAATGTTTGGGTTTGTCTACACTAGCCCCCTAGTTTGAACTAGGGAGGCTAATGTAGGCATTCGAAGTTGCAAATGAAGCCCGGGACTTAAATATCCCAGGCTTATTTGCATCTTCTCGTCTGGATGCCGTTTTTAAATCCCGTTAGTCTGAACTAACACGCGGCAGTCACACCTTGTGGAATGAGGTGTAACAGTTAACTCGAACTAAGGATTTAGTTCGAGTTAACATTTGACTGCCACGTGTAGCCGCGGGCAGTTAGTTTGGACTAAGGGGATTTAAAAATGGTGCCCGGATGGGAAGATGCAAATAAAGCCTGGGATATTTAAATCCCAGGCTTCATTTGCAACTTCGAATGCCTACATTAGCCTCCCTAGTTCAAACTAGGGGGCTAGTGTAGACATATCCTTTCTGTCCGCTTGGCCATGTGCTTGAGTGAGTAACTGAGCAGGAGGGTTGTGCTTTAGGATGCTTGTTATTCAGACAGGTAGTTCCATTGGCCAGTTTCTGACCATGTGCTGGGGGTGGAGCAGCACCTGAATCTTCCCCCTTCCTCTCTGGACTAAATAAAGAGAAAATGCAGGCCGGATCCAGCCCAGGGGCCATATTTTGCCCAATGCCTGAGCTAGTGACTTGACTTAACATTAATGTAGGTATATCAGACTACAAAAAAAGCAAACCAAGCTATAAATACCTCTTCAAGATTAATTCATAGTTTAGACACTATATCATAATAGTTTTTACTAATAAATTGGATAGATTTTGTTTATCACTAACTCTGTCTTAAAAAATAAAGCTTGTGTTATACTTTTATATGTGCTAATTTCATTGTTTTGAAAACAATGAAAGTTTTCCTGAAACTTAATGTGCTTTATTAAGAACTCTGCATCACAAACAGTAGCAAGTTTTCTATACAAAGGCATTTAGAAAAATGGAAATAAAACTGATTTTTGTACCAAATTGTGGTGGTAGTTTTGCTCTCTTCCCAAGATCTCTCCCATTTCCTAGATTAATTCTCTATTGCCACAACTACTCCAGTAAAAAATTTGGACCAAAGGTTTTTTTAGTGTATGGAAGAATTTATTGTCCTTGCCAAAATGAAAATAAAATCAGTATTAAAGGAACAGTTGGGGCATACTAACTGTAGCTACGAGGTTATACTGGGATGAAGGAATGGAAATACTGAAAAATCCTTGTTCATGTGTGTTCCTTTGTTCTGAGAATTTTAAAAATTGATTTCAAGGAGTTACTTTTTACAAGTATATGAAATGTCTTATTCATCAGAAATATCTTATTTTTAGGAACACACCCCTCCATTTTTATATTTGTAGGGTTACTGAATTTGGTAGAGAAGCCAACACCATTTACATGTGTTTTTTCTGTAGGTGCTTGTCCCCATTCACATATAGTTAGGGTCTATCATCTGATTAAGTGGAACAGATTATGAGACTCCTATGTACTGTGGTTGAGTTTTTAATTTTAAGTTCCTTATCTGGGGAATATGTAGGCTTACACAATTCAGTATCTGTATATGCTTTACACATGAGGCTATAATGTTCTTTTTCAGTATTTTTATTCTAAGAAGTTGTCTAAAGGCTATTAAAAGGTTTATTGGCTATCAGACATTATGTCTGCTGATTTGCAAGTGTAAAATGTATTTCCTTTATAATCCTCAGAAATGCTTGATGGATTGTGTCTTGAATCTGGTGATGTGCTGTTATATTCTGTTTGTAGTTTGCATTTAGTTTGCATGTCAATTGGACTTTAAGTAGACATACAACTCAGTGTGGACAGATGGTGTCTGGGAATTTCGGAACTCTATGGAGTATAAGGAAAGGTTACTTGGCTGCTACTGGAGATATAGAAGGGAACAAAAGCATATGTATATAAGCCCTGAAGGAGATTGTTAGTATGGTTTGAAGTAAATGGAGATGTCCATGGACTCTGTCTTGTTAATATCTTGATTAACAATGTCATGGACCAGTTCATAAACAAAATAATGTGAAGCATAACAATGAATGGATACAATAGTGTTTGGCTGATAGCAGTCTGGGTGCTTAGTATACAGATGATTCCACCATTTGTGGGCAAGTGGTGGGTTTTTGGAGCGTTTTTGCTATCTGGTCTAGGTAGAATGAGGAGGAACCTCGTGGAATGAGGAGTAACGGTAGTTCGGACTAGGAAGCCTCGTCCGAACTACCTAGTTTGTGCCGCGTGTAGCCGCATGGTACGGGGTTCGAACGAGCAGGGATTTAAAAATGGCGGCGCCCAGTTTATGCAAATGAAGCCCGGGAAATTCAAATACCGGGCTTCATTTGCAAGTGCGGTATGCCTACATTACCCCACTAGTTCGAACTAGCGGGGTAGTGTAGATATACCCTTATGTAATCTGTTGCAGAAGCGGTTCGAGGAGAGCTGCCGGCAACTGGCACCCTAGGCGGAATGCGCGATCGGTGCCCCCGCCTTCATACCCCTCAATGGTGTGATATCATCATTGGGCACCGCGTTAAACGTGGTGCCCTAGGCAACTGCCGAGGTTGCCTACATCCACGGGCCACCCCTGATCTGTTGTAAGACAGGTGACGTGGGATATATACACGTTAAGGGATATCAGACAGTATTGGAATCTGATTCTCATTTACACCAAGACTACTTTACACCACCCTGGCAGTGTCAGAGATTCTTAATGTTGGCATGCATATAATTCACTCATTTTCCAATCCCCTTTATAAAGCCAAAGCAGTGTGAAGAGGCTTCAGTATACATGAAAATTAGGTCCTTAGCCTTATGTAGAAATATTTTTTATCTTAAACTGGACCACTAAACATCTCAGTTCCCAAATTTAGCTACTATCTTGTAATCAGGCCTTTTCTTGATACAGAATAGATTGTATTAATTAACTTACCCCTTAATCTGTTTGAATATAACTGTAATCATATCTGTATATCTTATGGATTTTTACACTACTGAGGAAATGTACCATTGAGCTTGCAGATTGTGGCCACCCATTTTTTGTTAATATTGTCTGTTTGGTTACAGCTAGATTTATCTTTCATAAGTGCAGTACCTATAGTCCTCTTATGGGATGCAAATATCATTAAGCATGAGGTATTCTTTCTGTCTTTTTAATTATTTTAAGTGGCAATGTCATATTAATCATATAAACTTCAGACTATAATGACAACCTAGACTAATTACTAGTTCTGTAATATGATACTTGCGCTCTTGAAGTAAAGTTTTGGATTATGAAATGAGAGACTAACATACCATCATGCCCACCATTTTTTTAGGGATAGATCTGCCATTCATGATGATGCCCCATCCTCTACTCCCAGTCAGCCTACCTCCTGCTTCTGTTGCAATGGCAATGAATCAGATGAACCACCTCAATACTATAGCTAACATGGCTGCTGCAGCCCAGATGCATAGTCCTCTTTCCAGAGCAGGGGCCTCAGTTATAAAGGTAAGAGTCCAATATTAATTTAGAAAACAATGGTTTGTAGATAAAAAAACAGTCTTCTAATTGCAGTACACTGATTCCTTGGGAACATAAATGAGCAGCTATATGTTTGTACAGCAGCTAGCACACTGGGTCTAGGTTCTTGGCAGGAATCTTTAGGTACTATTGCAATATAAATAAATAGTGATAACAATCACTAAGCAAATAATACTGATGCAAGGATATTATATCATTCAAAACAAAATAACATGGACAAGATGTTGGGAGGTTAGCTAGTGTTGTACTTAATTATGACTCTAAAGACATTTTAAAATATAGTGTAAAAATATACTTAGAAATATTTTAAAGAGAGAACCATAAATTCTCAGAGGAAAGAGATTAGAAATAGAAGTGTAAAGGATCATAACTGATGGTTATATAGAAGAGTAGGTAGCTACAATGTGGAAGTTTTTGTAAAATTTAAGAAAAATGGTTTGTGTCATCTTTTTATTTGAGCAAAATTAGAAAGGACTTTTGTCAGTTTTAATTTTTGGGCATGTGTGTTTCTCTAGCAATTATAAAAAATAAATTTACAAATTGTACTATTTTGAGGTAATTTTATTCACATTTTGTCTTGTGTGTTAAAATATTACTTTAAATGTTAGGAATGTTGGGTCTTAGTTCTCCGTCACTTTGCCTCTTTTATAGTCATTTTCACTTATTTTCACTAGCACTTAAAATACTACCATCTTAGAAATCATGGGTTCTGATTGTTATTCCTGGCTCTTCTATTGACTTCCTGAATGAAACCTCTCAATATTAAAAGGCGCAGTAGGCTTACAGCTTCCCTTGCCACACAGGAATCTTGTGATGATAGGACTCCTTTGTACTTTTTATTATTACAACCTGCAGTGGGGAGATGTATAAAACCTTTGCAGCAGCGATAGGTTCTAGGGGCATTCTAGCCAGAATTACTCCTGTCTGACACAGAGGAATATGCAATGGAGTGCTTGCTGCCACAGCCTTTCACAGAATCCTTTGCTATATTGCTCAATTTGAGAATGTTTATTGATGCTTTCTCCCCGTTGCCTTCTGACTGCCCAAGGAGTAAGACTGTGGCTACCCCTTGTGTAAGTGTTCAAGGGAAGATGAAAGACTCCCTATGTTCTCTCCTTGCTTTGTGCACCAGTCTGATCCTGAATGTTTATAAACTGCAATGGGATTCTCAAATTGTATTTGTCATAATTTATTATTCTGTTATATCACACTGACTTGACACTGTTTAAGTCCATGTAATATGAGTACATAAAACTGATCACATTTTAGGTATATTATAATTACGACATGATGCAGCTACTTAAAATGTAAAACTGAATTGGATATACTGTTTACATAAATTCATAATTAGACTTCTAAAATACCGTTTAGCCTATTTCCTATTAGTGTGAATGGGCTGCTTTAAAAAGGATTTGATTTAAGTCCTCATGCTTTTTATGTCACATTTGCCATATAGAAATAAGCTGTCCTTCCAAAATATGCATGATCAGCAAAGTTAACATTTAGCACTCGAGAAAGAAATGTCATAACTATGAAAGTTGATTTCTTCTTGACAGGAGAGTTATAAATTAGGTAGCCACAATGGCCAGATTCACAAACCTTTCTTTGCCATCTATAATATAATCTAATGTGATTGCCCTGGCACCTGCTGCTATAGTTAAGGGTCTGCCAGAGTCCCATTATAAATCCCTACTTTTGGGGATTTACAGCTTAGCTGTAAAAACTTACTCCAACTGAAACCTGACTAAAAAATTTCGGAACTATCTGTTCAGTTAAGTTGCAAGAGTTCAAAATAAATGAAGTAATATCCTGTGTTCCGGTACTATTTTGGTGTATATCTTTAAAAGATTCTATTTATTGACCTTATTTTCAGATCTCTAGCTCATGTTCTTTTTACATAAACTAAAACTTCTGTATTTTATAGAGCAGCTCTACATCAAGATTATAATTCCCTTTCAATAATATTGTTATTATACAATGGGCCCCCCCCCCTTTGCCACGGCGCATGCACGGGGCTTTTTGAAGCGTGGGGCCCGGGGCGGCTGCCCCGTTCGCCCTGCCCTATATCCACCCCTGGATCCCTAATATGCAAATACATATGACTATTAACATGTATGCACCATATATAGTACTCTTAAAGGAGTAGATAAGGTTTGTGCTAAGAATATATATTAAATAGAATGCTGGAATCATGGCTAAATCATTTTATGTCCTTTAAACTGATACTGGGTGCAAAGGAGCTGAGCTTTCACAATATATAAATGGATGCCAAGTGCCACTCACTGGCTGTCACAACACAGAGTGAGCATACAACTCAAGGTCTGGGTTCAAGATTTTTGATATTTATTGAGAACAGATTTTGATTCTTTTACCCAGACCAGGGTCTACATCCTAAGCAT